CTCATTCGCCTGAGGCCTGAGCCAGTCAGGTCTCGGGAGGAGGGAAAAGTCCAGCCGGGTCCCACGAGCGGCTCTTCGGCCCCCGCAGGAGCAGTGCCTGTCTGCTGTGAGGGCTGCGTTTGGCGCCGACGCTGAGGATTTGGGAAAGGAGCTGACGCGGTCCACAGCAGGAGAAGCCAGGTGTGTCCAGTGTATTTTCTGTCTGTGGGATGCAGACACAGGCCTGTTCCTCGCGGCTAAAACGGGGTGCGGTTTTGCAGCGACGAAGGCATTGGAGCTAGCCTGACGTCACAGCGCAGGGCACACGAGGCCCGTGAGTTTCAGTAGTGGGGGAACAGGCCCGAGCCACCATCTGAGAGCGGCGTGCGGACACGTCTGTGCGCCACGGTGCGGAAGTGCCGTTTCCTTGGGGTTCGGTCTGGGTGACGGTGGCAAAAGTGGGGGGTCTGGGTAAAGCACAAGGGTTGATTTTCTGCCTGTGAGCAGAATTCGGAGCTCTCTCAAGTACCCTTTCCACGGCTTTCCACGACTCTCAATGTTTTGTGGGCACTCGGTGTCTCTTTCCTAATACGCAGGGTGACCAGATGTCCTGATTTTATAGCGACAGTTCCGATTTTGGGGGCTTTTTTTTGTATAGGCTCCTATTACCCCCCACCCGCACCCCGATTTTTTACACTTGCTGTCTGGTCACTACTCTGCAGTGGAAAGGAGTAATAAAGGAATACTCAGATGTTCATTCAGCGTTTTACATCCACTAGCTCTGAAACTCGGCTTGTAGAATACTTTCTGAGCAGTCCTGAAAACACAGACATGGGGGCCAGGTCCTCTCCGCTCCACAAAGTTGCTTTTTCTCAAGTGTTATCTCCTAAGTACTGGGATGACGTCACCTAAGTAGCTTGTCACAGCTCAAGTGTCACTTCGGATTTCGTGAGTAAAGGCTGTGCCACTGTGTACCTGCACGTAGCCCCCAGGTCCACCACAGTGAGATGCTGATGAGAGGTTTGGTACAACGCCTGCCCTGTGAGGGCTCTTGTTTAAACTCTTGCTGGGTTGAGCGTTGCTATCCTGTTGGATCGTGTGTGCTGTCGTTGGTTGGGAAGTTATGAATACAGTCGAACCGCAGAGTCACGAACACCAGAGTTATGAACTGACTGGCCAACCACACACACCTCATTTGGAACGGGAAGCATGCAATCAGGCAGCAGCCGTGACACCCCGGCCCAAAAAAGCAAACACAGAACAATACTGTGTGGAACACAAAGAAAGGGAAAGCAGCATTTTGCTTCGGCAGAGGAAAGTTTCCAAGCTATAGAAGTCAATGTTCAGTTGCAAACTTTTGAAGGAACAAACCCTACCGTTTGGTTCAGAGTTGGGGAGGGTTCAGAGGTCGGAACAACCTCCCTTCCCTAGGCCCTGGGGGTTTGTAACTCTACCATTGCCAAGAGTTGCTACTGAAGTGTGTTGTGAGGTTGGGAACGCCCGCACCAGCCTTTCAGTCCAAACAAAGGAGCAGCACAGGCCGGCCAGACGGGCGTGGGTGGCCCATCAGAAAATGATCCACTCTCCCCGAGGCCCCTTAGAGAGGGACAGTGTGAAAGGCTGGTGGGTTGGGAGGGGTCAGGGGTCCCATAGTCCGGGTTGCACTCTGGGGACCCCCTCCCAAAGATAACACAGGCTTTGTGAGCCCATACAAGAGTGGGCTACTAACCTTGGGCTTAACTCCTCGAGTGTCTCTGCTCCCCATTCTCTGGTGAGCCCACGTACACTGTGCGCCCCGACGTCTGACGGAGCCAAAGATTTAGGGTCCCCCCGGCTAAGTACGTTCACAAAACCTCCAAAGCCCCTTTGTGCTTTTCACATGTTTGTCGTGCGTGTGATCAGCGTGACGCTGAGCCGTGTATGTGACACGGGCTGCTTTATTTCCGATTCTTCAGCATTTCCAGAAACGGGGTTTGCCAAAAAAGCTGTACGAGGCCAAAACCTCCCTGTAATCAACATCAGTATGGCGGGGAAGGAGGTTTCTCTATAGATTCTGTTCTTTTCTGAACAGTGTCTTCAAACACCCCTGCTGGTGAAATTCACATTCTTGGGCAGTTAAATTTCCTGCCTTGAAATTTACTCTGACGTTATTTGGTTAAAATCTTATAGGCGATCTCATGATTTCAAATGCAATTCCATTTCCATGGATCAAAGGCAGCCAGACTTTGTAAGCCACAAATACTCCAAACGTAGACATGTAGTTCAAATTGACTTGTGTCACTCTATGAATGCTGTGTTGTTGAGTTTGGCTTACCCTGGTTATATGGCCACAAGTTTACCTACAAAATAAAATCCGATTGTTATATGGCTAGATAGTGCATGTTTGCCATTATGTAAATGTTAGCTTCTGTGAACAGTACTCAGGGAAATCTTTTGAGGAAAAAATCGCCCAGGTGTTGGCATTAAAGAGAAGAAACAAGTATCCTGAAGGAGTGAATAAAGCCGGCAGACTTAATCTGCATCGATTTGCTGCCAACTTTTCTTTGGAAGGCAAGCAATCCTTTTTTTCACATAATACCCACACGGAATACAATGGACTTTTCGGCATGTAACTTATGGTCCCGATGCCCCAAGACTGGGTTTCTTTGGAGCGTTCACCTGACCGACTGGGACCACGGTTAGGGTTTTTTCACATTTCCCAGAACATGTCCTGTGCTCCACACGTGGGCGCCGTAACAAACGTGTGTGTCAGTTACATGGCACAGGAGCATAAATGATAAATAGCACCAAACAAACCCCTATGGTTTAACTTTATTTCTCAAGTAGGTGATCCAGTGTATCGACAAACAACAGCAATCCCCAGACATTCCCCGAGCAAGGATATCTAGTTTAAAAAACATTTCAACATCTAATTATAACCAGCTACTGAAATTCCTCCCGCCCCACGTTGTATTCAAGCCGTGACGAGCCAGACAGTGTTCAGATATCTTCCATATGCAGATGCCTTATAATTAAGGCTAAGATTTTGTCACACGTATTTTTAGTAACAGTCCCGGACAGGTCACGGGCAATAAAGAAAAATTCATGGAAGCCCGTGACCTATCCCTGGTTTTTACTGAAAATAGGCTCGACAAAATGGGGAGCTGTGGGGTCTCCACACCACCCCTGGGGCCCGGCTGGGAGCTGTGGGGCATCCCCCTGCCTGTGGCTCCCAGCTGCTCCGAGCTCCTGGGTGCTCAAGTCACGGAGGCCTTTGTAAGTCACGGATTCTGTGACCTCCATGACCAAAGCGTGGCCCTACTTATAATGAACCGGTGAGCGGGGCTGCCTCTCCCCAGCTCCATAGGGCACCAGGGGATTTGGGGCACCACATTGCTGCGTGCTGCTCCAGCCCCTGCTCCGCCTCTTCCCCATGGCCCCGCCCTGCTCTGCCACAGCCCCGCCCCCACTCCACCCCTTCCCCAAAGCCCACACCCGGCTCCGCCCCTGCCCCCCCTCTTCCCAACCCCTGCTCCGCCCCAGTCCCGCCTCTTCCCACCCCTGCTCCAG